ATACATGCACATATACACATATGCACATACATTATACATGTATACACACACATCTATATATACACATATACATACACAAAACATATATTTCCCCTGAACCTGAGCTCTTTGAACACAAGGTTACCATGATCTTCACCCCAAAATACCTCAGTGTGCATCTCAAGAACAAGACATTCTCCTATGTACTCTTTTTTTAAAAATATTTTATTATTTATTTATTTTTTGAGGCAGACTGGCCCTGCGCTAACATCTGTTGCCAGTCTTCCTCTTTTTCTTTTTTCCTCCCCAAAGCCCCAGTACATAGTTGTATATCACAGTGGTAGAGTTGTAGGTCTTCTATGTGGGACCACGCCTCAGCGTGGTTAGATGAGCGGTGCACAGGTCCACGCCCAGGATCCGAACCCGCGAACCCCAGGCCGCCGAAGCAGAGCATGTGAACTTAACTGCTACGCCACCAGGCCGGCCCCTCCTATGTACTCTTAAAGTCTTGATTACACCTACGAAAATCAACAATATAGCCCTAATCTCATCTGATATTTAAATTTCCCAAAAGGTCTTTTATAGTTGTTTTGCAAAATTAGGATTCAATCGAAATCCACATGTTGCATGTATTTGGCTGTTATGTCTCTTAATCGCTTTTAATCTTACATGTTTCTATCTATCCACTGTTTTTTTCAAACAACATTGACTCTTTGCTGATCCCAGGACAGTGGTCTTGTAGAAGGTCTGGAAGGTTCCACCTTCTGGAGTTGTCTGATTGTTTTCTTGTGGGGTCATTCTATCACTGACTAGGTGCCTCGAGAAACTCAAAGGTGAGTTTGGAAGCAATTAACTGTTTTTCCAAGTTGTTTCTTTTCATTTTGTATGTTAAGGGCATGTAACCACCAGCCATCCTGAAACTGACCAAGCCTCACCACAAGAGCTATGCCCGTGACCTTTGCCTTATTTTTAATGCAAAGATCTCTCCAGGAGGAGCTTAGGCCTCATTATGTGGAAGCATGTTCTCCAACTGAGCCTGTGCAAGTGAATACCCACCTCTTCCTTTGGAATATTCATTCCTCAACTGAAATAAAAATTCCTGCTTCCCTTTGTTTGGGGATGCCATGACTTTGGAAGTGATTCCTCATGGCCTCCTATTTGCTGCAAATACACTTTACTTTGTGAGACAACTTCCACTGGTGTAGAGTCTTATTTAACTCACCAGAAGGCGAGCCCACTTGGTTCAGTAACAATTCCTCTTCTTCCTCTGGACCCTCTGTTTCTTGTAAACCAGAAGTTAAGACTAGAGACTTGATTAGATTCTGGGTAGCATCTTTTTTTTTTTTTAAACTTTATTTCTTTAGAGCAATTTTAGATTTGCAGCAAAATTGAGAGGAAGGTACAGATTTCCCATATACCCCCTGCCCCCACACATGCATAGCCTGCGTTATCAACACCTCCCACCAGAGTGGTTCATTTGTTAAAACTGGTGAACCTACATTGACACATTGTAATCACCCAAAGTCCATAGTTTACATTAGGGTTCACTCTCAGTATTGTACATTCTGTGGGTTTGGATAAAAATATAATGACATGTATCCACCATTATAGTATCATATAGAGTAGTTTCACTGCCCTAAAAATCCTCTGTGCTCTGCCTGTTCATTTTTCTCTCCTCCAAATTCCTGGAAACCGCTGACCTTTTTACTGTGTTCATAGTTTTGCCTTTTCCAGAATGTCATACAGTTGGAATCATACAGTATGTGGCCTTTTCAGACTGGCCTCTTTCACTTAGTAATACGCCTTTAAGGTCCCTCCATGTCTTTTCATGGCTTGATAGCTCTTTTCTTTTTAGGGCTGAATAATATTCCATTGTCTGGATATACCACAGTTTATTTATCCCCTCACCTGCTAAAGGACATCTTGGTTGCTTCTAAGTTTTGGCAATTATAAACAAAGCTGCTATAACGTAGGCTTTCGTGTGGATGTAAGTTTTCAACTCCTTTGCATAAATACCAAGGAGTAGGAATGCTGGATCGTATGGTGAGCGTATGTTTCATTTTGTGAGAAACTGCCAAACTGCCTTCCAAAGTGGTGGTACCGTCTTGCTTTCCCACCAGCAGTGAATGAGAGTTCCTGTTGCTCCACAGCGTCACCAACATTTGGTGTTGTCAGTGTTCCAGATTTTGGCCATTACAATAGGTGTGTAGCAGTATCTCAGTGTTGTTTTAATTTATATTTCCCTGATGACATATGACGTAGAGCATCTTTTCATATGCTTTTGTTTTCTTTTTTTAATTGGAAAAATATACACAACATAAAATTTACCATTTTAACCCTTTTTAAGTCTACAGTTCAGTGGCATTAAATACATTCACATTGTTGTGCAACCATCACCACCCTCCATCTCCAGAACTTTTCCATTTCCCAATCTGAAACTCTGTCCCCATTAAACACTAACTCCCCATGCCCTCCTCCCTCCAGCCCCTGGCGTCCATCATTCCACTTTCTGTCTCTATGGATCTGACTGCTCCAGGAACCTCATAGAAGTGGAATCATGCCATATTTGTCCTTCTGTGACCGGCTTTGGATCACACCTTTTGAAAAGAGGTCGTCCGAGGTGATGCTGTGCACTTCCGATGCATGCCCATCAGGAGGCTCACAGGAATCACCGCTGAGCAGGTTCCCTCTGACCCTGCCTGCCCGCCCCTCCCACCTGCTCCCCACCCACCCCACCCCAGCTGCTCAGTCCTCTCACCAGCTCACAGGGCCTTTGCACTAGCTCTTTCCTTCCTGGCAGGCTCCTTGGTATCTTCCAGATTTGAGCTTGAATGTCACCCCCTCATAGAGGCCTTCCCTGACTACCCAAAACTGCTGCTTCCCTATGGTCACTCTTTTTGTCTGTTTCATTTCTTCCCACACTCTCCCCGGCCTGACAGTACCTTGTTTGGTGTTGGTTTGCCTGTTTATCGTCTGTCTCCAAGGTAAACTCCACAACAGCAGGGACCTGTTCCCTGCTGTGTCCCCAGACCCTGGCACTGTACCTGGCACATGGCAGGGGTTTGTATTCCTCTTGCTGCTGTAACAAATGACCACAACCTCAGCGGCTTAAAACAACGCAAATTTATTATCTTACAGTTCAGGAGGTCCAAAGTCCTAAATCAGTCTCAGTGGACTAAAGTTGAGGTGTCAGCAGGGCTGGGTTTATTCTGGAAGCTCTAAGGGAAAATCCATTTCCTTGCCTTTTCCGGCTTCTAGAGGCTGCCCACGTTCCTGGTCTCCTAGACCCACATCACTTGGACTTCTGCTTCTGTCATCCCATCTCCTGCTCCGTGTCTGACTCCCTGCTCCCCTCTTATAATGTTCCTGTGATTACACTGGGCCCATCCAGATAATCCAGGAAATCTCCCCATTTTAAGATCCTTAACTTAAACACATCTGCAAAGTCCTTTTTACCATGTAGGGTCACATATTCACAGGTTTTGGGAATTAGGACATTTTGGGGGGCCGTTATTCTGTCCACCAAAGGACTCAATAAATATTTGCTGAATGAGTGAGTGAATAAATGAATGGATGTGTCCTTTTACAAATGGAATGCCGAGTCCTAAAGTCCAGGGCTGGCTCAGCCACTTACTGGCCATGTGACCTTGGGCAAGTCCCCTCCTTCTCTGAGCCTCAGTTTCCTCCTTCATTAGGTGTGTTCTGAGTGCCCACCACATACCCCACTCTTGGTAGACATTGCAAATGCCAAGACAAAGAAGAGGAGCCCCCCACCTTCCAAGAGCTTGGAGTTTGGCTTCTGGGGAGGGGCCTGAAAAAGAGAAAATCTGACATAATCTGCTCCATGTTCTAGATCTGCTCCATGTTCATAATCTGTCCATGTTCTAGATCACCTCAGAAAACTTTGAAGTCCTGAGGGTATGTGCTTACCCAGAAGGTGACATTTCAAGTGGTTCTTGACGCACGCATAGGAGTTTATGCGGTAGAGAAGTGGAAAGGGCATTCGTGGTCAGAGACAGGCTGTAGACCTCTTTGAGGAACTGTGCGGAGTGTGGCTGGATCCCTCGGGGGAGGGAGACCAGTGGGAGCAAGAGGTCTGGAAAGGAGGCCTTGAGGGCCAAAATCAAGAGATTGCTCAAGGGACCACAGCAGGGTTTTGAAGTGGGAGGGAGGTGCGTGCAGCTGTGAATCTGGGCCGCTCACTCTGGCCGCTGCAGTGTGGAAAGGGGATTGAGGGGCCAGCATCTGAGCCTGAGGTGGAGGTGGCCTGGACCAGGCAGGGACAACGGGGTGGCGAGAAGGGCACAGATCCGAGAGAGATTTAGGAAGTAGAGTCAGTGGGACATGGTAATAGACTGAGAAGCTGGCAGGTGAGGAAGAGCTTGGAGACGGCTAGGAAGGAAGGGCAGGCAGGACGGAAACATGTGAAGTTCTTTGCACCTGTTGAGTGTACCATGAACTGGCCCAAGTTGGGACTTTGTGAGCAGCCTTGAAGATGCTGGTGATGGGGCAGAGAAACCAACCCAATGGATTTGTAGGCCTCTTCCTTTGAAGAGAGATCAGTGATGAAGATCACCAAGGGTACCAGATGGGCTTCAGTCCCAGGTGAGGGTTTAGGGCTGTTGGCTCCTGTCCGCGTTCTCTCTTGATTTACAAACAACCACTGAGGTAAACAGGTAGGGCTGTGGACCCATCTCTTCCATTTCCAGATGGGCAAACCGAGTCCGAGACATCCAGTGACATGGTCAAGGTCACACAGCGGGCAGGCCCTGGGGAGCACAGGCCTCTAAGAGGCCCAGCTCAAGGGGGATTTTGCAAGTCTCTTGAGACTCAGAGAGGACAGAGTGGGGGTCCCCTCTGAGTGTTCCCGGCCACAGAGAATTTCCTTTGGCTTGGAGGAAGCGGGAGTTCTGCTTTCATAATGTGAATGTCAGAGATGCTGGGCTCACTGATGACTAAGAGTGGCTGAGGCTTGTGGGTGTAGCCAGCACTTAAATAACAGCCCTCCTGTCCTCCGGCGATTGTAGACATCTGGGCTGGGACACACAGGACCGGAGCATGGCCAGCCTACAGACCCCGCTCCTGGCTGCCCTCGTCCTCCTTGCTATGGTACTTCAAGCAACCGACGCAGGTGAGGCTGGGGAATGGGAGGGCTCCCTGCAGAGGCTAGGGCCAGACACCAGAGTATCTTCCTTATGTAGCAGAAAGAGCACTGGACTGAGAGCAGAAGACCCCAGTCTGCCGCTGGCTCTTGGGCTAGTCCTATGGCTGCTCCCAGCCTCAGTTTACACATCTGTTAAATGAGTAGTCTTGAAGGCTTAGAGTCTAGGATCTGTCTCAGCCCAGTTGGGGGATGTGATGGGCATGGCCCGGGGTCCTCTACTCCAAAAGGAGCCACGAACGGGGGCCAGCTGGAGGGGGAAAAGGCAGGAGCTGGGGTAAGGGATATTACTTGGAAAGCTGGTCCTACACTCCCGCCACCCTATTTTTACTCCAGAACTTGCTCTCAACTCTGGGTTCCTGACTTCTCTTCTCCATCCTAATGTGAACTCTCCTGCCCTGTGTTAGGCAGGGGAATAAGCACTAGATTGGGAATCAGGCAGCTAGCAACAATAATTGCTCAGTTATTGGGTTTCCTGAGAGCTTTCCCTGCATTAAAGGCCCTATAGATTCGGTACTATTATTACCACTTTGGTCGGAGGAGGACATTGGGCCTCAGAGATATTAAATAACTTGCTTAAGGTGGCCTGCACCATGAAGCGGTTAGAGTAGATGTGAGCTGAAACAGACTTCTCGAATTTCCTGGGGATCTTGTCAAACTGCGTCTCTGATTCAGCAGGATGTCTGGGCACTGAGCATTTCTGACAAGCTCCAGGTGATGCCGCCGCTGCTGGTCCCTGGACCTCACCTTGAATAGCAAGGTTCTAAGGCTCCTTCCTGTTCAGAGTTTCTGGGAACCATCTAGAAGTTAGGGCATCCTTGATGCTCAGTCATTCTGAATCCCTCTCCCTTGAGCTGACCGGCCCAGCGTGTAGACATTGGGCCCTTAGTGGCTTTGCAGAGGCCCCGAGAGTGGGGACTTCGAGGCCCAGAATCCTCTGGACGCCAGCCTTCCACAGGAGAACAGAAAAGCGGGGTCAAAGTCAGGCCGTAGGAGGGCTCTCTGTGCCCCAGCCTGTGGCTCCTCTGACCCCTCTCTCCCAGGCCCTTATGGCGCCAACGTGGAGGACAGCATCTGTTGCCGGGACTACATCCGTCACCCCCTGCCCGTGCGAGTGCTGAAATATTACTACTGGACTTCGGACTCCTGCCGGCGGCCCGGTGTCGTGTGAGTGGGGCGCTGCGGAGGTGGCCTTGGAGGGCCTGCCGGGTGTGGCCCCGGGGGGTCCAAGTGCAGGAAGGCAGGGTGGACCCGAGTGGGGAGGAATGCAGCTGGGCCTCCGCATGCTTGGCCGGAATCGAGGGCTCAGCCCAGGCTTGGGTATTCCAAGAAAAAAAAAATCATGGGGTCATTCTATGAATACCACGGGCGCCTGCTACATGCCGGGTTCTGAGGACGTGGAGCTGAACGAACGAATGCGTGGCGGGATGGGCAGTGTAGGCTATGGAGAGGAGGGTACAGGGTGTTGGCAGTGTGCCTGGTGCAGCTGAGTCAGTAAAGATGCTCCTATCAGAAGCATCTGATCCTCCCCCACGCCCTGGGAGTTACTTGAGGCAGCCATTCTTACCAGAAGAAGAATATTAAGAGCTAACACTTACAGAGAGCTTCCTCGGGGCCAGACACTGTCCTGAGCGTTACTGTGTGACCTCCCTTAACCCTCATGACATCCTACGAGGAGGTGGGGTGATTTCCATTTCATAGATGGAGAAACAGCCTGGTGGGAGGTGTGACTTGCTCAAAGTTGTCCAGGCTGGAAGCGGGGCTCCTGGGTCCGTGCCCAGGGCTCTCTCCTTTGGTTCTTGTTCTCCTTTGCTTCTTCCTCTCGGCTTCTTTGCTTCCTTCACCCTGGCCTGGAGCCTGTGCCTGTGCCCGCCCCTGGCTGGGGCACTGGCCTGTCTTTTCTGCTCCAGCTCCTCTGAGCCTGCTGCCTGTGAAACCACACCCTGGTGGGTGCTTGGGCCCGGGGTCTCATCGCCTCCCTTGGGGCTCCGTCCCCTTCCATCTTCTTCTCGTCTTCCTCCTCCTCACTCATCTTCCCTCTCTCAGAGGGGTCTGCAGGCGAATAGCAGAGAAGGCTGAAGCAGGAAGCCCTCCCGGGGTTCTTGTCACTTCGACTCTGAGCCTCGGTTTCCCCATCAGTATAACAGGAGTGATCACCTTCTTTTAATATTTATCAAACATGTGGAGAGTGCTTCAGTGCTAGGCACTGTTATAAACACTTTATAAATACTAACTCATTTAATCCTTGAAACAACCCCATGTACTAGGTACGGTTATGGTCCCTCTTTCACTAGTGAGGACATGGGCACAGAGAGGTTATGGGGCCTCTCGAGCATCACAGGGCACAGTAACAGTAAGTGGAAGGTGTAATGCTCCATGCCGGCATATGATAGATGCTCAAGAAAAGACAGCACACATGTGGTTATTGGATTTTGAGCTCCAGAAAGAATGTGGCTTGACAAATGGGGAGATGGAGACTCAGAAGGGGGCTGAGCCTTGTCCAGTGTCACACAGCGGCCACGGCAGGCGGCCCACGTGGCCAAGATCAACATGGCTGCCTTCTTTGTTCTTTCTGTTCATTGGTCGTCTTCGGGGCAAGGGCAGGTCAGGGCAGTAAGGGGAGCCAGGAGTTCCAGGCCCCATGGACAGGCTCTCGAGAGGCAGGAAGGGGGTCCGGGACCGGGGATGTCTCTGACTCCCCGCCAGCTTTGAGCCACTCCTGCCAACAGTGGCTGAGGCAGAGTGCCCCAGGGGCCCGGCCTGGTGTCGGCCACAGCTTGGCAAGGGTGGGAATCTTCGCCCACGATTGCTGTGTGATCTGGGCCGGTGCTCACTTCTCCTCTCTGGGTTTCGGGCCTCTCAGAGGGGCCTGGATGGGGCTGCTCTCCAAGGCACCGCCCCGTGAGGGTCCATTCACAGCGAGCACGGAGAGTCAGATCTTACCGGCTCTGGCATTTGGGCAAGCTGCTTTACCTCTTTGGGCCTCACTTTCCTCAGCTATGAAATGGGTAGAATAATACGGCCTGGTAGGGTTGTTGTAAGGGTTTATTAAGAAAATCCACGTTAAAAGTTCGGGCCAGCTCCTGGCACAATTATATAGCACCTACTATCTGCTATGTCCTGTGCTGAGCACTTCGGTTTATGTTAACATATTGAATCTTCATCAAAATCCTACAAAGCTGGACCACGGTTATCATCCCCATTTTACAGATGTGGAAACTGAGGCTCAGAGACGTTAAGGGACTTAACTTGTTCTGCTTACAAGTGGCAGAGCTAGGATTTTAACCCAGATAATCTGGCTCCAAAGTTCATGTTCTCAGCCACTGCCTGATACTCTCTCTCTCCCGAGGCAATGTCCACATTAATTATGAGATTCTTGGGCATTCTATTCCTTGGCCTGACCTGGCACTCAAGGCTGGGGCTGAGGGTCCCAGAAGTCCTTGCTGCTCATCTCCCTCTCTCCCCCTTAAGGAATATGTTTGCACACAGCAGGTGGCTTATAAATTTTGAACCACTCTATATAGCAGGTACCTCTGCATAGGGCAGGTGCCTCATAAATGCTAAGCTCCTGGGGCCGGGATGTGGCGTCCTTGCTGCAGGCTAATGCGGCCTCATTGTCTCCCCGGTGTCTCCTCCTTCCAGCTTGCTAACTCTCAAGGACCGGGAGATCTGTGCTGACCCCAGACTGCCCTGGGTGAAGAAGATTCTCCAGAAGCTGGACCAGTGAGGAAGGGCTCTGCCCTGACGATGCGGCCTTGGCTCCTCCAGGAAGACTATGGAGCCCCAGCTCCCTGCCATTGCAGCTGCTCCCCGACACAAGCCTGTGCCAACGACTCTGCAGTCCCTGATCTCCATCCCTGCAGCTGTCACCCTCGGTCAAGCCCCACACTGTTACTCTCATCTCCCCTCATCCCTCCAAACCATCCTCTGCGCCACTGCAGCCAGAGGGTCCACGATCCTGGTCAGCCACTCCCCTGCTCAAATCCCTTCCATGGCTCTCCACTGCCCTAGGCTGAGGTCAGAGCCCCTGAGCCTGGCACCCCTGCCCTCTGGATCTGGGTTGCATCCCTGTCTCCAGCCCTACCTCACTTCCCTTCGTGCATGTTGGACTCCAGCTCCCTGTTTTTCAAACCCATGCCGTACATTTCCACTCCTGGGTCTTTCCCCAGGCCACTCCTGATGCCCGGAATGTCTCCCCATCCCCCGTACTGGTCCAACCCTAGCAGCCCTCCATTGCACGGCTCGGCCTAACCAGCCAGTAGTTGAGTTTCATTTTTCAGACTTCCCCTGGTCCTCTGCCTCCTCTTAAAAGCCCTGATCACAATCTTCCCGGAATTATCGGGACTTGGGGGCTTGTCCTCCAGCCCCGCTGGCTGGACCAAAGTCCACGCCTCAGTTACTCTTGGCTCCCGGCCTCCAGCACAGAGCAAGGGGCCTGGCTCAGAATCAGGGCTCAACAAGTGACAAGCAATGTCCCTCTCCCGCCCCCCAAAGGCCCTCACACATCAACAGAGACTCAATGGCATCGAAAGAGGAGCCATTTGGGTCAATGGGAAGCCTCAGATTTGCCCAGATTCACTTTTCTTTCCCATTTTCCTACATTTTGGGTCTCTTTACCCTTCTCGCTTTCCTCAGCTTTTTACTGCTCCTCCAACCTCCCACTCCCAGGCCTGACCTCGTCAGAGTCGCCCGCTTTCCCTTGCCCCTTCCCCAAATAGCTGATAACCAAATTCATGCTATGGTGTGAATGACTACCCTTGGCTTGGTACTACAAACTCTAGTTATATTTGTATATGAAAAGAGGGCTAATGCTTAAGAGGCCAAATGGATGAATGGAGGAATTTTAGGAGCTGTGTGGGAGGAGGGCAAGGCAGAACTTTCCTGGCCCTGGGAGTGAGTGTGTGGGGTACAGTTAAGTGAAAGAGCTTTGGATGGAGGTTGTTCTCAGGTGGCTGGAACCAGGCTAAGAAGTAGGATTTGGGACTTATCTGTGCCTCCTTGGGGACAACAGATTCCCCAGGTAAAGGAAATAAGCTTTACGCGTGCTTGTTCCTTTCTGAGCCTGGTGTAGCGCAGCAGGGTGGTTGTTGCTGTGTGACCCTGAGGAGACCACCTAACCTCTCTGAGCCTCACCTGAGAATGAGAATACCCACCTTACGGGGTTGCTGTGGGGCTCAGGTCCAAGGTACAGGGAATGACTTTGCCAGCCATAAAATTCAGTTCCTTCTAGGGCCTGTGTCCCCCCTGGAGCCCAGCATCATGTGCCCACCACGGGCACTGGACATGTCAACCTGCCCCCTGCCCATGCACAGGGCTCTCAAGTGTCCTGGGACCCCCCCTCACCTCCTGTCTTGCTCTGGCCCCACAGGCCTCCTTCTGGAAAATAAATCCTCTACAACAGTGTCTGCTTTGTTTGTTCGCATTTGTTGTCCCTCTGAGGTGGGCCCGGCGGCACCATGGCCCCCTTTCTTCCAGTGGGGAAGCCCTTGACCTTGACATGTGAGCTGTTGCCCGAGGTCACACTGTGAGGGGGCGGGGAGCCAACACTAGACGTGAGGACCTGGGAGGTAGCTTCGTAGGTGCCAACGGGGAACCACAGGCATTTGTCCACCAGGCCTGGCCCACCCTGGGACCCCCTGTCAGGACGACCTGATGAAAGAATTCATTTAGTCCCCAAGTCTAGAGCTTTACGCAGCGAAGGGGGAGAAGACTATCCTCTACCCACTCTGGGTCCTTTCTGGCTGGGCTGCAAATTAAATTGACATGAGACCAAATAGCAGGAGAAAATCAACCAAAGCTTTATAACACGTATACATGGGGGAGACCCACTGGGTAACTAGAAAAGGCGGCGAGGTGCTCATCTTAAATACTATCTTCAGCTAAAGACAAAGGAGGATGTTGAGGGTGGGGCGAGTCAGCTATGGGAGATTACCAGAAAGCACAGTAAACAAGAGTAAGGTTAATATGCAGATTTAAGTCCTTGTCTTACACACCGATAAGTTTCTAGAGATGAGGTCATCCCCCCTTCTTCCCAGTACAGAGAGGGAGATACCTTTACAGATGGAGATTTCCCTTACAAATGTAAATGTTTCTTACAAAGGGTAACTTCTACTTTTACTTGGAATGGGCTCAGCAAGGACCCTTCCTGTCTATCCAAGCCTAGAGTTAAATTCTGTTAGGCAGTTAGTGGGGTGGGTGGAGGTCAAAGTTTCTTTCAGAGAAAATAATTGAGGTAAAGAGACATATTTTGAGGTGGCCAATTCTGATCTCCCAAAGTAGCATATTCATTCATTCAGCAGTCAGTCCATGAGTCAGTCATTCAATAACTCAACCTCAACCTTCCCCCTTCTAGGGTAGACACGGAGGAAGAGGAGAGGGTGTTAGTCAGGAAAGGCTCCTTCTTGGAACAAACAACTCCAAACTCTCAGTGGCTCAACTTCGCAGAAGTGTTTTTCTTCTCACATGAAGTCTGATCGGACATCCTGGTCTGTGGGTGACCTTCCACATGGTCACTCAGGGACCCAGGCTCCTTCCTCCTCATGGCCCCACCCTCCTCCAGGACCTGGACTCCTCTCCATCATCCGGCAGATGGGGAAATAGAATGGAGGCTTTTGGGAGGACTTTAGGAGCCAGGCCAGGAGGAGCGGCTCATCACTTTAGCCCCCGTGCCATTGGCGCAACTCGGTCACATGGCCGCCCTGACTGCAGGGGATGCTGGGAAGCACAGCCAAGCTGTGTGTCCAGGAGGAAAAGGGAGTGGGTTGGGGGAGCACCTAGTTCTTCTGGTGCTGAACTCCCTGGGGCCCTCAAATGGGCCTGCTTCCCTGGAGTTCCCAGACACAGCTCACTCTGCCAGAGCAACAAAAAAAGGACTCCTCTGCCCTCGGGGCTCTTCATTATTTCCTCTGTGTAAACACGGTTCCACAGACATCTTGGCACAAGCGGCCTTTGCTCCCCTTCAGATCTGGCTCTCACAGCGGGATTTCCAGGGCTGTCACTCAAGACACCCAGAGCCCTTGTCTGGGAGGCAGGGAGACGCATGGGGAAGGGCACTTCATGGATTCAGACAAGCGTAGGAACTCTCACTGGCTGGGTGTCTGGAGCAAGCTGCTGGATCCCTCTGAGCCTCATTTTCTCCCTCCGTGAAGAGGGGGCAGTAAAAGCACGTGTCCGTGCATGCGGTTGTGAGAATGCCATGAGGTAAGAGGACACAGACAGCCCAGTAACAAAATGGTCAAAGATTTGAATAGGCATTTCTCCGAAGAAGACATTCAAATGGCCAACAAGCACATGAAAAGATACTCAGCATCACTAGTCATTAGGGAAATGCAAATCAAAACCACAATGATGTACCGCTTCACACCCCTTAGGACAGCTATTATTTCAAAAAAAAAAAAAAACAAGGTTGGCGAGGGTGTGGAGACATTGTAACCGTGGTGCACTGTGGCGGAAATGTAAAATGGCACAGTCACTGTGGAAACAGTATAGCAGTTCCTCAAAAAATTAAACATAGAGTAGTGACGTCAGCATCATGGCGGAGTGAGCTTTCCCGTGAACTCTTCCCCCGACAAGATACAACAAAAGGAACAGTCACAGACCAACAACGGAATCCCAGACAGTGAAAAGCTAGAGCGGAAAGATCCACACTGCTGCACATCTGAGAGCAGAACGTGCTGGGCCCCGGAGGAAGTGAGGAGAGGTAAGGAGAACTCCTCTCCCTCCCCATCAGATCAGCGGCCTGGTCCACAAGGCTCCCAGAGAGGGGGGAGGGGTGGCCCTCGGCGGGGAAACCATAGCTCTTTGGACTCTCTCAGCCAGTGGGAAACTCCCGCACAGAGGACTCAGAAGAGCCACAAGGCTACCATCAACATCTGAGCACCCCAGAGAGCGGATAAAGAGGGGCAAATGAGACGCCTCCCATGTCAGGGACCCAGAGGGCAAAAGAGAGAGCTCCCCCCTCCCC